GAGTCGACTCCTAACCTGTTTAACTTTTGCTCGTATGAAAATCCCTCCATTCCAGGGATCATGGTGGTGAACCTTCTCTCAACTGCTCCCACTGAAAAATATATTTCCTTAAGTAAGGAGCCACAACGGCTCACATTACTTCAGATGTGGTCTCACCAGCATCTTGTACAGTAACAGTAAGACTTGCTACTCTTATACTCCAACCCCCTTGAAATAAGGTCCAAAGTTCCATTACATAAACAGAAGTTGCTGAAAAAGCTCAGCAGATCTGGCAGCATCTGTGAAGAAAAAAATCAGAGTTAATGTTTCGGGTCCAGTGACCCTTCCTCAGAACTGATTGTAACTGGGAAAATGTCAGCATATATGCAGAAAATTGAGAGGGGAATGGGGTATGGAGTAAATGATAGGACAGAGCCCGGAGAGAGAGAAGAGCAGTTGGATAGACAAAGGAGTTGATAACAATATGGCTGGGAGGGTGAATGGTTGTTAATGGGGACTGTTAGTGACTAACAATAGGTAGGCTGTGTGACAACAAGGCCCGGTGTGTGGGTAGGGGGTTAAGACATGGGAGAGTTTAGGCCCTAAAATTATTGAACTTGACATTGAGTCCAGAGGGCTGCAGGGTCCCCAAGTGGAAAATGAGGTGTAATTCTTCCAGCTTACATTGAGCTTAGCTGGAACACTGCAGCAAACCAGAGACAGAGATGTTGGCCAGGGAACAGGGTAGTGTGTTAAAGTGGTAGGCAACAGGTAGCTCAGGATCTTTTTTTGTGAGCAGAACATACAACCTACACTTTGTTTCCCCAATGTAGAGGAGACCACATTGTGAGCAGCGAATGCAGTAGACTAGATTCTGGGAAGTGCAGGTGAAGTGTTGCTTAACCTGGAAGGTATGTTTGGGCCCTTGGATAGTGGGGAAGGAGGAGGTAAAGGGGCAGGTGTTGCACCTTTGCCGGTGACAGGGGAAGGTTCCGTGGGGCTGTGGGGAGGTGTTGGGGGTGAGGGAAGAGTGGACCAGGGTGAACTGGAGGGGACGGTCCTTGCGGAAGATGGACAAGGGAGGGGACGGGAATTTGTGTCTGGTGGTGGCATCTCGCTGGAGGTAGCGGAAATGGCATCTGATAATCTTCTGGATGTGGATGCTGGTGGGATGGTAAGAAAGGACAAGGGGAGCCCTATTGCATGCTTCTTCCCTCTCTCATCCAGAATTGGAAAAGTTCATTGATTTTTCTTCCAATTTCCACCCTGCCCTCACTTCCACTTGGTCTATCTGTGACTCCTCCCTTCCCTTTCTTGACAGCTCTGTTTCCATTTCTGGGGATAGACTGGCCACTAAAATCCACTGTAAACCCACTGACTCCCACAGCCACCTGGACTATACATCCTCACACCCTGCTTCCTGTAAAGACTCCACCCCATTCTCCCATTCTCTCAGTTCCTCCGTCTCCGTCGCATATGTTCAGATGAGGCCAGCTTCAACAAAGGACCTCTGACATGTCCACCTTCTTCCTCAATCAAGGATTCCCCAGCACCGTTGTTGACTGGGCCCTCAACAGGGTCCGACCCATCTCCCGCACTTCCGCCCTCACTCCTTCTCTTCCCTCCCGCAACAGTGATAGGGTTCCCCTTGTCCTTACTTACCATCCCACCAGCATCCACATCCAGAAGAACATCAGATGCCATTTCCGCCACCTCCAGCAAGATGCCACCACCAGACACATATTCCCGTCCCCTCCCTTGTCCGCCTTCTGCAGGGGCCATTCCCTCCAGGACACCCTGGTCCACTCTTCCTTCATCCCCAACACTTCCCCACCGCCCTATGGCACCTTCCCCTGTAACTGACAGAGGTGTAACACCTGCCCATTTACCTCCTCGCTCCCCAGTGTCCAAGGGCCCAAACAAACTTTCCAAGCGAAGCAACATTTCACCTGCACTTTCCAGAATCTAGTCGATTGCATTCACTGCACACAATGTGGTCTCCTCTACAGTGAGGAAACGGAGTAGACTGGGTGATCACTTCGCAGAACATCTACGTTCTGCTTGAAAAAAAGACCCTGAGCTATCTGTTGCCTGCCACTTTAATACACCACCCTGTTCCCTGGCCAACATCTCTGTCTCTGGTTCGCTGCAGTGTTCCAGCGAAGCCAAATGCAAGCTGGAAGAACAGCCTCATTTTCTGCTTGGGGACCCTGCAGCCCTCCGGACTCAATATCAAGTTCAATAATTTTAGGGCCTAAACTCTCCCCTACCCACACACCAGGCCTTGTTATCACATAGCCTACCTATTGTTAGTCACTAACAGTCCCCAGTAACAACTATTCACTCTCCCAGTCAGATCATTATCAACTCCTTTGTCTATCCGACTGCTCTTCTCTCTCTTCGGGCTCTACCCTATCATTTACTCCCTACCCCATTCCCCTCCCTATTTTCTGCATATAAGCTGACGTTTTCCCAGCTACCATTAGTTCTGAGGAAGGCTCACTGGACCCGAAACGTTAACTCTGATTTTTTTTTCAGCAGAAAAGATTTGCTGAGCTTTTCCAGCAACTTCTGTTTGAGTTCCTTATTTACAGCATTCGCAGTTCTTTTGGTTTTTATCCAGCATTTCCATTCTCCTTCCTAGCTCAGACACTCCAACACAGGCAGCATCCTGGTAAAACATCTCTGTATCCTTTTATTATTTGCTTCCTACACTGGGATGACCAGAACTGCACACAGTACTCCAATGTGGACTAAACAGCAAACTCTCCCTGCCCTTTTCATTCTGTTCATTGGCTAATAAAAGCAAGTACCCTATATGTCTTCTTAACTACCTTTTCTATCTGTGATGCTGCTTTCGGGAATTTGTGGATATGCACATCAAGGTCCCTCTGCTCTTCGGTACTTTGCAGGGTTCAGTGATTCATAGTGCAGTCTGTTGTCTTGTTAGCCCTCCTCAAATATTTTACCTCATATATTTCTGAGTTGAATTCCATTTGCCACTGATCTGTTCACCTGACCTGTCCAATCTTCAAAACTCGATTTTCATTTCAGGTCTTCAGCATCCACAGTATTTTGCTTTTATTTGGCACTCAACTGGGGTTAAGATGCTCATTCACCTGTGTAAATATCATATCTGTCAGTCCTCAATATACTCCAGACATGTGACTATCAGTAAACCTGATCATCGAATGATGTAGCACAGAATGAGATTGTTCCGTCTATTATGCTTGTGCCGACTAATTCATCCTGCTCCTTTCCTTTCCCCCATAGACTTATAAATGGTTACCCTTCATGTATCAATCCAATTCGCTTTTGTATGTTACTAATGAATCTACTTTCAATATCCTCTCAGTCATACCCTCCCGATCATAACAAGCCAGTGTTTGAAAACATACTTTCTTGTTTTGCCTCCAAATCTTTTACCAACTATTTTATTTCTGTGCACTCTAGTTATTAATCCTTTTGCCATTGGAAACAATTTCTCATTAATTAGTCTCAAAACCATTCATGATTTTGAATGCTTCCATCAAATCATGAATCATAGTTTATCTGGTCTCTCCACATAACTAGCATGCCTTGTCCCTGGCGCCACTCTTGTAAATTGCTTCTGCATTTTCCTAAATTGTGATGCTCAAAATTGAATATCATAGTCCAGCTGAAACCAGGTCAGTGTCGTTTTTAATGTTTAACATTTTTACGACAAAAGAACCAAGATGCTTTTTTTCCAACCACAATCCTCAAATTGTTAAATCAATTGCAATGATTTGTGTTATGAAGAAGGTTCATAACAAATTTTAATTATTATTTGGACACTTAGCTTCTAAAGTGATCAGAACCATATATGGCTTTGATTTGTGTTTCTATATAGTGTGCTCAAAAGGGAAGACATAATTTTACTTTAATTTTTGAGTTTTGTGAGTGGTGATAGGTTGCTTTAAATTTGTTTACATTTAATTGAGGCCTTTGGGGGCATAAAAGCTTTGAGGTGAACTATGCAGTGGTTTACAAAACAAGGGGTAAAACAGATGAAGAAAATAGGTTGTTTGCAAGTGTCCTGTGACACAAAGAAAGAGACAGAACCAAGTTTCCTTTTAGAAAGAGAGAGACAGAATCATTCAGGAGGTCAGTGAGTATGCAGGTTTTTGTCAGAGACAAACAGGTCATTCGGAGAGAAAACGCCTGGAGCATCAGCGGTGCAGTTTAGCAGTCTCCAAAACACGACGTATAGGAAAAAAAGTCCCTGATTAGTGTTCAGGGATGTGTAGGCTAGGTGGGTTAGCCACGGGAAATGCAAGATTATAGGGATATGGTAGGGGTCTGGGTCTGGGTGGGGTTGCAGTTCGGACAGTCAGTAGGATGTGATGAGCCAAATGGCCTCCTTCTGCCCTATAGGGGTTCTGTTGTATGATTCTGTCATTTGTCTGCCCTCATGACATCTGTTACTATTCATGCTGTTATTGACACTTTTTAATGCATGCACATTAGTATTTGTATTAAGTACAGTATTCCCAAATACCCAAATCACCCAGGAAAATTCACTACTTGGGGCTTCTATGGCTGAGCTATGCCGAGGAGGTTCTGCTGCAAATACTACGGGATGCTACAGTCAATGAGTTTAGTATGAGTTACTGGCTTGGTATTTCCCCTTGTTATGTTTTGTCTCTGCCACTGATGGATGCTGGCTTTTGAAACAGGCCGCACTGTTTTTTAGTAGGTTGGGTCATGTGATCATCATCCTGGGTGAGTCCTCTCAGGACCCACAGTCAATATTCCAGCTCTTAAATGTAGTGCCCTGGCAGTGCTTCCTTTGACCACTGAGAGCGAACCTCAGTCTCAAGCTCTGTATTGGTGATTTGCTTTGGCAAGTGAATATCAGACATTCTGTTTACATGAGCAATCCAACGTTTATGACCAACATTTCCTGTTTTTTATTGCAGCTGTGCAGCTTAGAGGGAACATTGTTTTTGACTGTTTCGCTACAGTTTGGATGCTTGACCAACTTGGGTGAATGCCTCACTGTTTTTCATTTTGTCTTGTCACCTGATTTTCAGATGAACACATCTCAAGTGAAAATGGCTAAGCTTCTTGGCATGACACTGGTAAACTGTTCAAATCTAGCAATGTATACCATAGAGTGGACAGGAGTTTAGGTCCATAAACTTTCAGTTTGATCAGCAGACTTATGCTCTTCATTGCCAGATTGATGCTTGAAGTCTGCAGAAGACTACACTTGCTTTGGAAACTCTTACTTGTGACTTATTATCAATTTAACTACTGGAGAGAGACCTTCCAAAATACATGAACTTATCCATTGCTGACAGGTTCTGGTCATATTCTGGAATCCTTGAAGTTGGGATAGAACTTTTCCAGAGCAGGCTTCAGTTACTTAGTTTCCTTAGTAAGGGTGAAGTTGTTGCAAGCATTGGAGAATAATTCCATGCTACATATCACATAGAAAGGAAGCTACTCAATCTGAAGATAATTCTCAGCAAAATCCAAAACCACCTCACGATTTCTAGTTTGCCAATGGCTGCTGGTTCAGAGTTGGGCATGCATTGTTGCATAAATGTATAGCTCCTAACTCAAAAACCTAGCACCAGAGGCAATAAATGTGTCTTTTTGCCTTTTTTGTTGGATCCTTAATAAATTACGTTCTCCTTCTACTTAGCAAAAAAAACACAAACTTTAAACAGTACCACCCCTGTTCCTTCCTCTGTGCTGACTGTAAAGAAGTAATTAATTTTCCAGTGATTGCTTCCAACTTGTAGACACTGAAGCTTAATTTATACAATCAACACTTGTGCACAGGTTGGTTTTAACTTATTTCCTATGTAACACCATCTGCACTTCAAAAATATTTAATTTGCTGTGAAGTGCTTTGGTATGTTCTGAAGGCCTAAAAAGATACTAAATAAGTGCAGGTTCTTTCTAAGTGTGAAGCCTGATTTACAGAAATACCATTATAACAATATCTTGCATTTATATGATGCAGTAACGCAATAAAACAGAAGCATCACGGAACAAAATGTGAGTCACTGAAGGGAATATCAGAATAGAAAGATGATCAAACAGGTACATTTTAAGGAATGACTTCGTAGCTCAGGAGTGAAGAAAGAAACAGGAGATGATTTCAAGAGTTTGGGGCCCAGGCAGCTAACAGCACAACAGTGTGATGTCAGCTATGTGATTTACATATATATTTGATATCATTTATTAAGCTTGGGTTATTGTTTTTTTGAGCTGTTAGCATGTGGGTTTTCTGTGTGCCTTGGGTTAATTCACTTGTGAATATTTCTGTAGGTATGTTGATTCCTTTATAACAGTTTTTGAGGCCTAACTTTCAAATTTTTAAAATGTACATTGGCAAGGCTTTATGACTGAAGAAGATAAATAAGCTCCAGTTTAAAGGTCAAGAGAGACTTTTTTCAAGTTTAAGGGAAACACTCATAGATAAGGGACAGAAGAGGTTTTTTCTCCGGTCTTACTTTGGGTTTTGGGCAGACCTGTGAGGTCCCTTAATAAAGATGTTTGAATAGATCTGTACTCCAGAGAAGAGGAAGATATTATGAAATCAAGAAAGAGTTGTTGTTTGTTCCAGACCACATGAGATGGGATTAAACCTTGAGTACATTACTTAAAGCTGAGTATATTTAAGCACCCATAGCCACAAACATATATTTGCAGCTGGGCTACCTCTACAAATTCTAGTGCACCAAATGGTTTTTCAATTGATAATTCTAGAAGCTAATAGAACTTCACTTCTTTCTTTAGGGAAAAGAGCACCCACGCAACCTGATTCCAGAACTCTGCAAGCAATTCTATCATTTAGGCTGGGTAACCGGGACTGGTGGAGGCATCAGCCTCAAATATGGGTGAGTTTAGGGGAGGAACAATTGTGTGGAGAAATTCTGGAAGTCACTGTGTAAATCGTGCTGTACGTGTCATTGAAAAGATGTTTGTGTAAAATATATCTCCTCACAACAGAATCTGTGTGATGTAGGAATACAGTTCTTGTATTTTATTGGTATGGCAGAAACATTTTGATCTTCCTTCAAATTGTAACATCTCTGTATTATACATTTTCCATCTGAATTTCAGTTCAAATATTATGAATGCAAACTAGGTTTCTGTAAGCTCCAGTAAAATAAAACAAAGAACTGTGGATGCTGGAGATCTGAAACAAAAACAGAATATGCTGGAGAAACTCAGCAGGTACGTCAGCACCTGTGGGGAGAAAACAGAGTAACATTTCAACTCTAGTGACTATCTTCAGAACATAAGAAACAAATTCTGCAAAAATGACATTAAATTCTTTTGGGCTGATTTGAATTATCTGACATATTCTTTATTTATGCATAGATTTGTGATAGATTCTTCATTCTTCTTTAGCCTGGACAATATGATCTAGCAATATCATATTTTTCTATGGATCAGAGAAGACAAGAGGCAATATGTGTGACTTTCAATGACAAAATACATTAATAAAAGATCAAAGCCCCTGAGCAATGCTAATAAATTTGCTCAATATATAAGGTTATGAATTTTGAATCATCTGCAAGTAGATCTGCTTGTAGAAGCTCTTACTATGGAGTGTAAGAAAACATCCTGACTGGTAACCCTCAGGAGTCAATATCATGAGTTTGATATATTTTTCAAGTCTTCATCTCATTTATGCTGATAATTTTGCAGAAAAGGAAATAACACCTGCAAACACACAACAAAAAGAACCCCAAGAACTGTGGATGCTGGAAATCCGAAACAAAAACAGAAATTGCTTGAGAAATTGTAGAGTTCTGAAGAAGGATCACTGGACCTGAAATGTCAGCTCTGCTTTCTCCCTGTAGATGCTGCCAGTCCTACTGAGTTTCTCCTGCAATTTAAGTTTTTGTCCCTAAAACACTCTTTGTGTTTAAGCAAAAACCGAAAGAACTACGGATGCTGTAAATCAGAAATGAAAACAAATTGCTGGAGAAACTCAGCAGGTCTGGCAGCATCTGTGAAGAGAAGTCGGAGTTAATGTTTCGGGTCAAGTGATCCTTCCTCAGAACTGCGTTTAAATTCTTGACTTATTTTCGTCTTCTCTTCCCTTAGCTCAACAGCGAGCACTATTCCAGCAGCTAAGAAGCAATAAAGTTTAAAATGATAAAAAGGTTATTCAATTCATCAAGCCCAGTTAAAACCAAATCCCTGTGTGATTCTAGCGAGTAAATCTCTACCTTACCTGTTAAACATTTTTTTACTGAATACATTTTCTGCCTTTCCCTGGGGAAAGAAAACTTCAAGCAGTGACTTTAATTTCAAATATCTCTTTCAAAAGACTTAAATACAGCATGATCCTATTGCATTAAGTGATTGACTGAATCACGTAACTCCTCTGGGAATTGTGTCCCACCTCCATTAAGAACTCATCTCTCATCTGTGTTCTGAATGTGAATGTATTTGGGCCCGCTTTTCTGTATTTATTTCCAATTTCTTGCTTCAACCTTATCTTATTAACTACAGGATTCTCATCACGTTAAAAGAATCGCATAAGACTTTCTGCACTAAATATTTAACTTTTGGAAGGGTTCAAAATGGTGTCGGTTGAATCATCTTTAAATGTTTTTGTTGCACCAGAATTTTAGAATCTTAATGAATGATTTGCATAGACAATAACAGAGCAGCATTATCTAGCTATAAAGTTAAGAATGAAATATTCAGGCAATTATATTAAATCCATTTGATTTACAGTGCTGTCTTGGAGGACCTTGAGCAAAATTTTTAGTTATTCTAATTTATGTGTAGTGCCAGTCTCAACAACATGATTCACAATCATGGCATAACTGATAAAGATCCTAGCCTGCATGCTCAAAAGGCCAATACGGCTTGTTTGTACTCTGTGCCACTTATGATTTAAGGACGAACTGAAAGGATTCACTGACAGAAAGGATTAATGTGATTGTCAGTTTCCCAGGTATTTTTTGTAATACAATGTTGTGACATCCATTTGGACTGATTTGGATCATTGCATTCAGCTGTACTGAAGTTACAGTCTTTGAGCACCATCTAGTGTTTGTTAATTTTTTGCCTCATCTGATCAAATAGGTTTAAAAGTGAATGATAAACACAGAATCAAAAGTAAAACACAGTGGATATATCTTCACATTTCACTTAGCTGGGTGGCTGACTTGTCCTGTAGATTGAAGCCAACAGCACAGGTTCAACTCCCATCCTGGCTGAGGTTGCCTAACTTCTCAACCTCTCCCCTCACCTGAGGTGTGGTGATCCTCAGATTAAAACACCACCAGTCATCTCATTCTCTTATGGTCTTCTGGGATTATGGTGACCTCATCTTTACCGTTATATCTTAACGCATTATAGGGGTAAGCAGCACGGTGGCTCAGTGGTTAGCACTGCTGCCTCACAGCACCTGGAATCCAGGCTCGATCCCACTGTTGGGCGACCGTCTGTGTGGAGTTTGCACATTCTCCCCATGTCTGCTTGGGTTTCCTCCCACAGCCCAAAGATGTGCAGGCTAGGTGGATTAGCCATGCTAAATTGCCCAAAGTGTTCAGGGATGTGTAGATTAGGTGGGTTATCGGGGTTGGGTCTGGATTTGATGCTCTGAAGGTTGGTGTGGACTTGTTGGGCTGAAGGCCCTGTGTCCGCACTGTAGGGATTCCATGATTCTATGACATTAAATAAACTAACTGTCAAAATGTATTTGTAGGAAACCATCAAAGTTAGTCTTGTAAGAAAAGTTGGTAATTTTTTGTTGTATGATGTTTTAAATGTTCATTCATAGCATGTGGGGCTCCTTGCCAAAGAATGTATTTCTTGCCCTTTCCTAATTTTCCTCAATAAAGTGACGATGAATTGTTTTTTTGAACGACTGCAGTCCTTGTGATGTAGGTACACCAACAGTACAGTTAGGAGGAGAAAGGATAGTGACATAGTGACACTGAAGGATATAGTATCAAGTCAGGACGGTGAGTAGCTTGGTGGGGAACTTGCAAGTGATGGTACTCGCACGTATCTGCTGCCCAGGCCTTGCCAGTTGGTAGAGATCGCAGGTTTGGAAGGGACTATCAAAGGAGGCATGGCAACTTCCTGCAGTGCATGTTGTGGATGTGCACATCCACATCTGTGTCTCTGGTGGAGGGAACAGATGTTTAAGGTGATTAACAAGGTACCAAAAACATGGGTGCTTTGTACTTGTTCGAGCTTCCTCGATGTTGTTAGAGCTATGCCCGTCTAAGCAAATGGAGAGTGTTCCATCACACTCTTGACTTGCTCCTCATGACTGGTGGACAGGCATCAGGGACTCAGGAGGTAAATTATATGTTGCCAATTTCCCAGTCTGTCTTGTAGCCGCAGTATTTCTGTGGCTGGCATATTTACGTTTTTGGTTAATGGTAACCCTGGGATGTATGTTATAGGGGATTCAGTAACAGTAATGACAATGACCATCAAGAGAAGATGATTTGTTTCTGGAACCAGCCTGACAGATTGGAAAATTGTAAACGTAACACCTCTAATCAAAAAAGGGAGGGAGGCAGCAAGCAGGAAACTATGGGTAAGCTAGACTGACCTTTGTTATAGGGAAAATGCTAGAATCTGTTAAAAAAATTATGAAAATTATGATACAATCACAGAGAGTCAGTGTGGCTTTTGTGAAAGAAACATTGTGTTTGATTTATTAGAGTTCTTCGATAGAGTAACAAGCAAGACAGATAATGGGTAACCTACCAATGTGATGCAGTTGGATTTCTAAAAAGTACTTGACAAGGTGCCATTATCAAAGTTTACTACACAAACCAGGAGCTCATGGTTTCGAGGGCACATATAAACATGCTTAGAGAATTGGTTAGCTAACAGGGTGCAAATAATGGGTTATTTTGGGTTGGTAAACTATTGCTACAGGGATCAATGCTGGGACCTTGATATTTACAGTCTGTATCAATGACTTTGATGAAGGGACCAAGTGTATCGCAACTAAATTTACCGATGACACAAAAATGGGTACAAAAGTAAGTTTTCAAGAGGACTTAGAGTCTACAGAGGCATTTAGATAGTTTAAGAGAGGTGGAAATATGGAGAAAATATGGCAGATGGATTAGAATGTTGAAAATTATAAACTTATCAACTTTGGAAGAAGAATAGCAAAGCAGTATATTATTCAAGTGGATCTGGGTGACGTGGTAGATGAATCACAGAAATGGGTGCACATGTGTATTGACTGATCATTATCTGAGGAGCTGCGATGGAATCTGCACAGCGTGCAATCAGCAGCTAACATCTGCATTTCTGACTTTACCTTGGAAGCATGCAGCTGGAGATGGTTGCCCCTAGGGCACTACTCAGAGGTACTTGGGGGGGAGGCAGAGATGTCCAACCTATAAAGCCACAACTGTCTTCCTTCATGCATGGTTTGACTTCGAGCAGTGGAGACTTTACAGTCACTATACCCTGATACCCAATGTCTTCAACAACAAAAACAAAGTTGCTGCAAAAGCTCAGCAGATCTGGCAGCATCTGTGAAGAAAAAATCAGAGTTAATGTTTTGGGTCCAGTGACCCTCAGACCTTGCCCAGTTCTGAGGACCGGTCACCGGACCCGAAACGTTAACTCTGATTTTTTCTTCACAGATGCTGCCAGATCTGCTGAGCTTTTCCAGCAACTTTGTTTTTGTTCCTGATTTACAGCATCCGCAGTTCTTTCGGTTTTTACCCGATGTCTTCAATTTTGCTTGGTTTCCTTGATCTTATATCAGGTGAAATGCTGCTTTGATGTCAAGAACACTCACTCTCATCCTTCCCTGTGGGATTCAGCTCTTCTATCCACGTTTAGACCATGGTTTAAGGAGCTGAGTGGCCCTGGCAGAACCCACACT